AGAATGTATATATGAGATATATATATACATAATATATACATGTATAATTACATTTTATATATTTGTAAATTACATTATTTATTTATTTTAAAGCAAATAACATATAGCTCTTCTTTACATGAAATAATCTTTGTAATCCTTCCAAGGGAAATATATTATATTGTATATAAGAAATGAATTGTAATTATTTATATTAGATGACCTATATATTTTTTTTGTATTTTAATTGCTAATTCATACTTCATTCATTTATTCTATATATATGCAGTAAATAATCGGTAGACGAACAAAACTTATTTAATTAAAAATTGGAGTCAGCGAATAAAAAAGGCATTGACAAAGCACTTCATTTATATTTATAATTTGTTTATATATATATATATATTAATATATGTCCAATATACATTTTTACAAAATGAAAAAATATTAGTAAAATATAATAATAATAACAATAAGAAAATATATATTTAATTGCTATTGTTATTATTAGCCAACATTATACTTTGTCCAATTCCTAATCGTATATGGTGTAAATGTATTTTGATATGCTTTTGAAATGTGTCCACATTGATATCTTCAATGGACGATTTTACTTCCTCAATGCAACCTTCCATTATTTTGCTAACCTGGTTGGATTTGCCATCAGCGCCAAGATGAGAAGCAACCAACAAAACAGTAGACAAGTTTTCAATTAGAGTTAAAATTCGTTTATTCTTCAGGATGCCCTGATTGTTCTTTTGTACTGCAAGCTGAGCAGCTTCACGGCATTTTTCCCGTAAGTAAGATGGAGCGAGCATTGCCTGAACTTGCGGGTCACGAGTTAATTCTGCAGTATATGCCTGTACGTCATTTAGATAATCCTGTATATCGCGATTTAATTTTTCCATAGATATTACGATGGAAGCATAACGTCGTTGAAATTCTTCACTGACTTGCAAAGATGGTTCGGGAAGTTGTTGAGAATCATCAGATAAAGCATTATTATTTATTGGCATTTCTTGTGATATATTAATTTCAGCTTCATTATTCATATTACATAGACGTTGCAGTTTTGTGCGTTTAATTGCAAGTGCACGCTTAAGACGTACTATTGTCTCGAGCAATTTAGCTGGATAACCATTAATACGTTCTCGACCAAATATTTCCGTTTTAAAGGGACTTTCTATTATTTCTTGTGCTAATAGAGGATCACTTTTATTAAGATTCATACTATCGCGTCCGTTACGCATATTTTTTAAAGGTGTCATATTGTTAGCGGCAGAATTTGTTAATACAGTTGAGAGATTTGGTCGAAAATCTTTAGCAATGCTCTGTAGCGGTAACATTTCAAAAAAGTTGTCTGAAGCTATCTCATAATCCGGTATAGAATGTGTTCCTAATCCAGCACGATCGAAGGTTATACGATATAATGATGACAATGAATCGAATGCATCAACCATTCCGCTAAAAATGCCATCTTGTGGCACACGTAGACGTGCAGTTACTCTCGTACCTATTGGTAGGGGAAGCGGTATCTTATGCGGTAGATCACGTACATACTGCATATCTTTTATATCTCCACCTCTACGAGATTGTAAGTAACGTATTTTTTGACGCTTGCGTTCCAACTCTCTGCGTTCCTCATCGAGAAATGCCTGTGAACAACGCCGAGGTTTGCCAAGCATTGATCGAATTTTTCTCCACTCAATAAGGTTAAGATTTCTAGTTTGTAGACCAGGAAAATGTTCATTTAAACAAACTTGAAATTCATTTTCATTAAGAAGTAATTGTTTATCAAGAAATGAATAAAACCATTCATAAAAAACCCATTTATGTGCTTTAGGCAGTTTGAGTAAATTACGTAAACGAATACCAAGAAGATGGCCAAGCTTTTTATCAGAGTCATTCTCTTCCTCTATTGTGGCACTTTTCGGTAGCGCCACCTCCTTAGATGGTTTTAATGGCCAAAATAGAGAATTGGATATATAACTGACTTTTGAACTTGTTGGTGAATCATCTAATTTTTTCTTTTTCTCACTTAGTCGCAAGTAGCTTGTAGGCATGGATTTTCGTTTTCTTAAAACTTTAGAAGACGGAGTTCTTGCTGGAGAAATATTTGTTGCTTTTACGGGTGTTTTTCTTGGGGACAAACTCATTCGTAATGGTTTATCATCATTAATGATGTTATCATCAAAGAATAAACGATTACGTTTACGTATTCTTGCTGGCATCCCACGTGCGTTAAGCATTTGAATTGGTAATGCTGACTGCATCTTTGGTTTTGGTGGTTCTGTACCAACCCTTTGTAAACCAAGTGTTGCTAAGCTGAATGATGGTGGCTCTATGTGTTCATCATCAGAAAACGATGGAGTGATATTTCTTTTATTTTTTTTTCTTGGAGTGTCCGAATATGCTGACATTGTAAATAGATGTTGATAAATAACTGCGAAATAAATAAAAAAAATATTTATATTATATACAAATCTATAATAATTCTGACAATATTTACTAATGGTAAACATATTAAGTAAAACATAAATTATTGTTTAACTTGTTAAATTTTTTATATTTCAACAAGTAATATAATATACATTCACATTTCAAATCGTAATCATATCTTATAAATATATTTAAAAATAATTTGAATTGGCAATTAGTGTGATTGGACTTGATTCCGCTCTTCAAGGAGAGGTTTTGAAATTGATTAGACGAAGTTCCTAGCTTGTTTAATCTTAGTGTAGAAGACAGTGCTGAAATATAAGCAGGTGTGGACCTTCTTAATCTTCCTCATACTCACATTAACAGTAATAGTCTTTTAGAATAATTTCTTCACCGACAATGAACCGTCAGCAAACCTACTTTAAAACTGATATATTAATGATGCATCTCAATGAGATTGCTAGATTTTTAATTATTTAAGATAAATCAGCTTTCAGACGACTGCATATTGTTGATCCTTCCCATCATGTAGTTTCAACAATGATTTGTATTAATTTCCATAAATTCGACATATTTTTGGCATAGTATAATATTTTCCAAATATCTCGGAAATATATGTTAATACAATATATTAAATCGATTTACATTCTAACTGTTCTCTAAGGTTTACTAATAAATATGTACATTATGGAAGCTTATGAATTAATGCGCCTGATGAAATTTATCTCCAATATAAAATATAAGAATATAATACCATTTATCAACCGCCAGAAGTGATACACTGCCGATTTAACATTACTTCAGCAAGAATAACTATACCGCCATCAAAACAAAGCAACTAACTATCATGTTATAATGAGGCGATATACATCTCAGTAGTTTAAGTCATTAGATCCACTTAATTTATCGTCCAGAACAATATTCAACTACGTCCATTGTTTTAATAAGTGTAGACAGATCATTGACTTCTAATTAAAAATTAGATAAATTGTGTCCATCTTAAAACATAACAAAATGTTTAATCTTAGTGTCAAGGACATAATTCCAATATTATCGATTGGAACTTCAACTTAGCTAAATCGGCTAAGTTTATTAACACTTAAACCTGCTAAGAAAAGTTTATGCATGTCAATATTTTTATTTTGACTCATGGCTTAAATATTAGTTACCCTCTTCAGTAAGAATAACGTCCAAATTATTTAAACGAAAAAAATAATGATTGCAGCCTTCATACCAATATTAAAAAGGAACAGAAAAACCTATCGACTGGTAGATCACCTGTAATTAACCAATTTAATATACTCAATAAATGACGAGAACCAGCTTTGATTAATCAGTTTTACTGCAATTACTAAATAGTAAAAGAATAACAGCTTCTGATAACTTTAGTGGTTTCAAATATGCAAACCTATAAAATTTACTCAATTAAACATCACAATGTCGATCAGTCAGATCTTATGTAGATGGAAAATAGGATGTTCAAATAGCTTCATCTACGCCCTCATTAGACCCACTTCAAAATCCTATAATTACTTCAAAAAAAGAGCCATAAACATAAAAACACTCGAACAGGGTGTTAATAGTGGCAGATGCGAAAAAATTATTAAGATATTAAAGATTAAGATTGAGAGTGAGCGTGAGTATGGAGAATATGGAAAGGTAAGATTAAAATGTAATCTGTGCCAAAGTTCTAAAATTTTGTGACAGAGGAAGTCAGAAATCAATTGTATATAACGTAATATGCATAGTGGAGTAATGGAACAGATAAACAACGACAATGCAGTATGGGTATAGATCACAAACAGTTAGGTTTACAGGTATAAATGTAATTGATCATATTACTTACTTACAGTTTCTTTTTTAACAATTTTTTTTTAATTATTTAAATATAAACTTAAAGATTTTACGAAACAATATATAGGTATTGTAGTAGTTATTACTTTAACCTTATTTTCTACTAGAAAATACGACAGAATTTCCAAATTGTAGTAAATTGATGTTTTCTATTGTAGATTTTATAATATTTTTAAATAAAAATAGTAGTCTCTTAAGAAGAATTATAAAACTATTTGTTGTCAAATAGTTTTATAATTATTAAATAAAAAAATATCAACAATATACTCGTACATATAATATAATGACTATATAAATATAAATAAATAAATATAGAATTCTAAATAAAATTTTAATTTAAAATGTGATAATTTCATTATATATATAATTTCATTATATATATATATTTCATTATATATATAATTTCATTATATATATAATTTCATTATATATATAATTCATTATATATATAATTCATTATATATATAATATTAATATATAATTCATTATTATATAATTCATTATATATATAATTTCATTATATATATAATTTCATTATTATATATATTTCATTATATATATAATTTCATTATATATATATATTCATTATATATATAATTTCATTATATATTAATTTCATTATATATATATTTCATTATATATATAATTTCATTATATATATAATTTCATTATATATATAATTTCATTATATATATAATTTCATATATATATAATTTCATTATATATATAATTCATTATATAATATAATTCATTATATTAAATTTCTTATATATATAATTTCATTATATATATAATTTCATTATATATATAATTTCATTATATATATAATTTCATTATATATATAATTTCATTATATATATAATTTCATTATATATATAATTTCATTATATATATAATTTCATTATATATATAATTTCATTATATATATAATTTCATTAACAAAATTTTATTATTTATTTTATACCATATTTAATTTTTATTTTATATAAAATAATAATTAATAATAGTCATATTATAAAAATAATAATTGTGTATATAACAAAATTTATTTCTATAAAAAGATTATATGAATTTATTAATAAACTTCTATACTTAATATTTAACACAGTTCAATTCTATATTAATTTATTGATAGAATTCTATGTACAATATAAATGTATATATAGCATAATTGTTGAAGTTCAAAGTCTAAATTGTTGATGTGTATATACATATTATATAGCCCACTATTTAATGCTAATTTTCTACCAATAATAACGTAAAGAGGATATACAGAACTGAAAAAAGGATTACTTTGGAACAACTGCTCTCTGTTGTGATAAACCGGTTTAAACTGTTTGGATGTTCCACAATTTGAAAACTTAGAGGACGTCTTAGAAATGAAGCTTTGAGTACTAGTTATATTCACACAAAGCATGGTCATTCTCTAAGTAGCCTACAACAAATCTATATAGAGGTTTGCTCCATTTGGTATTACTGAGTCAGTTTAACCTAACGCTACCTAATTTAATAAAAAAAATTATACATATAATGTTAAATATGTATAATGTTAAATCTGTATAATACATATTTAATTCTATATAAATTTATCAGTAAAATTTTGCACCTAATTTTAATATAATTTAGTGCCAATTTATTAATAACATTTACATTATATTAATAGTATATATAACGTTAATTAATTCTAAAACAAAAATATATTAATTTTTAAATATAATTTTATAATTCTGCATATATATTAGTATGCACAATATAATTTAATTCAAAATTTAATTAAATAATTAAAGTTATAAAGTTAAATTATGCAAATACATTATAATAAAAAAAATTTATTAAATATTCGTAGTATTAATAAAAAAAAAACAAATATGAGACAAACCGTCGTAGTTGTTCAATATTTTTGAATAAAATTAATACTTTATTGAGGGACAAAAAGTAAGCAGCACAATACAATTTTGTTAAGTTTATATAATTTAATTTTTAAATATTAATATTAAGACTGTAAATAGTAGTTGCGTTTCGTATTAAAGGAATTTTTCGTTTCATTTATTTATTATTGACTTGAATCATATTTAAATATATATTAAAATTTGAATATTAATATAATAATATTCTTAAATGTTAACACAGTAAAATATTTAAAATAATAAAAACAAATTTTATTTATATAACAGTATCATGTATAACAAATATCAATAATAATAATAATAACAGGATTTTCTCTTATAATTACAATAATTATAATAATTTATTTATTTATTTGTTTGTTTGTTTTAGTGTTTTTGTATTCTCTATCTCTCTTATTTTTGTTTATAATTTAATTAAAATACATTATACATTCACATTATATATTGTTTTTCTATTTGTTTAGTTTTCAACTTATGCAAATATATAGTTTACTCATAAGTTTATATATATATATATATGTATAAATATAATTTAATACCGTTAACACTTCTTCTAGCTTGAGCTACCCTAGTACAACTATAACAGACAGTCACTACATTTGTCTAAACATTAAAACGTGTTTCCGATCCATCGGCTAGTAATAAAGTCACCGTACGATTGTTAATCCAGACCAATTTAGCTAAACGCATTGGATTCAAACGTGCTACATCGGGAATAGGTGCAGTCGAGTAACCTTTGGTGCAACGTGTCTGTGATTGTCCCAATCCAAACATGCCAGTGCTTGTTTGCCAAAATGAAAGACGATTTTCACTGCATGAATATGAGACCAGACATTTACCGTCAGGTGAAAATGCTAAGGAAGTAATGGGATGCGTATGTGCTGGAATCATTTGACACTTATTTTGACGCAATTCATAGATGGCCAAATTACCATTATTAGCACCAACCGCAATGCGACGAGTTTGTGCGCAATGTGATATCTGATTGAATTTGCAAATAGAGGGGCAGACCTCTGCCAAACCGCGGCTTTTCAATTCATTATTATCCACGCAATGTAATGTTATATCCATCACTTCTACAAGTAAAGACGCGATTTCGGCTTGCATTTTATCTATTAGCATTTCAACGCACTGTAAAATTTCAGATTTTGCTCTATATAACACAGATTGTGTTAGTGGCACATTCACTGCTTGTGTATTTTGTTGCATTGTGTTATAGCGTGCAACTTCCCGTGCCATTGTTGTAATAAATGCAGCTGGCCTTGCTGTTGCAATTAGTCGGAGCGCATGACGTGCAGTACGACAGGCATCCGCTTGTGGAGTGAGTGGTAATTTGTAGTTTAAGTTCGGCACAAATTTACCGTCGCAGGATATCTCCAATAAACCTAGCAATACTTTACTAACATCAAGATAAGGCTCCCATACTGTAAAACCACGTCCCAATAAGTCTATTGCTGCTCGACGTAAAGGTGTATATTGCGGAAGTTTTGCTGAAGGTGGTGCATAGAGTAAATGTGCTAGTGCCATTGAAGTTAGACGTGCTAAATTGTTTGCAATACCAAACGATTCCACAACAGATGATTTACGTCGCTCATTGGTAATACGTTGATGACTAGGTGAATCTTGCGATATATCTTGTCCAAATTCGGCACCTATAACTCCTAACAGTATAACAGCTGTTGTTTGTTTTCTTTTTAATTCAGATAAACTCGAAGGTTTACGAATAATTTCTTCTTCCTCTTCTTCGTAATCCTCCTCTTGATTTTCACCATTTGTAGCAACACCATTTCCGGTACTATTTTGACCATTAGTACTATTAACATTTTGTGCTGGATTTGCATTCTGTTGCTGTACTATAGGTTCTGAATGCGTATATAGTGGTAAATACTGCGCCCAACTTTCAACAAGTTGCTTACGTCCACGTGGTCCAAGCCGCCTTAATTCACCTAGAAGAATTTGTTGTGCAGCTTCACGAATTTCAATGCAATGATGTTGCCAACGTTTGGCCATCATTTCCACTTGAGGACGTTTAAATTTCTTTGGTTCTAATGCTTCGATTTTTTCAGGTAATTGAAAACAGTGATGAGTTGATAGATCACTCCAACCCTGTTTTATTTGTGAGGTATGCTGAGCAATTAGTTCTTCTCGCTCTTCTTCAGTAGCTAAACTTGAATCAGTACGTTGAGCTAGACGTTGCAGTTTTTTAGCTTTCTCGCTATCAGTTAAGAATGTAGCGGAACTCATTGACATTAGCGTATTTGACATAGCCACTAAAGCTAAGATATGATTTGAAGTTAATGTTGTACTTAATTCCCAATGTAAGAGTGATGTAAATATCGAGGTTAATTGTTCTTGTCTCAATAGATCAGCACGTATATCACGTTTTTTTGAACTGCTTGGTATTGGTAAACCCTCTGGAATTTCATAATTATTTTGCCACGTTGGTAGCAGTAATGACATATAACCGCCTTTTGAAAGCACACCAAATGATATTGGTACCATTGGTCGTAATAAACCTAATTGCGACTCACACACCTTGTCTAAATGACTATCTAGACCCCAGGAATGCAATAATGACAACAATAACTGAGCAACTTCCATAACGTGCGTAACTTCCAATTTTGATGCAATTTTACTTTTAAGATCTTCCTTTTCTTCTTGAGTTTCCACTGCTTTCTGTATACTTTCCACTTTTGCTTGAACTTTCTTTTCCACAATTTCAGTTTTTTCTTTAAATTTTTGTACAATTCCATGTTTATCTTTATCTTTTAGAATTTTTTCCATATCTCCGGCTTTGTTTTTCACTATGCCAAAAAAGTCACTTATCTTCTTGGAAGCATCTAAGTGAGCTGCTTTATCCTTAGGATTCGCCAATACAACTCCAAGAGCTTCTAAATCAGCGGGTGTCATTTTAGCATATTCCTCACTATGTAATTCAAATATAAGACCTTCAATATCAAAAAATAATATATGACTTTCAGCATCTTTGGGATTTGTACGTAAACCTTGTATAGTTAGCGGATTACTTCGATGTTTCATTAAGAAATCAAAATTTCCTTGATTATGTCCTTGTAATTGTTGCAATTGATGTATACCTCTTTGCGTAGCATGTCGTATAGCATTCATATTACGTGATTTAATGCCACGAAAGAAATGTACAGCTGGGTTTGCCATACCCATTTCAGAAGCGGCTAACGTACCGCTACCAGTACCAGTACCATTACCATTTCCTCCACCTTCTTCTATAGATTGTTCATCGCATGCTGTTAAAACTTCTTCAGCTAACATACCGTGTAATACTCTATCAAGATGTCCAGTTTCCATTTGCCATACATACACAGATCCATCAGAACAGCCCACGATAAGAAAGTCATCTCTAGGACGCCATTTAATATTAACAACAGGAAATAAATGCCTACTGGCTAGTGTCACACATTTACGTTCTTGCAAGCTAAGCAAAGTTACAGAATGATCTGAAGCAACAGAACAAATACATTTAAGAATACGTGAACTGCAAGTTTCCGGTGGCACAAGCATTTGAGTAATTTCACCAGCGTGCACACAAAATCGTTGCAGCAAACTTCCACTGTATAAGTCCCATAAACAAACTGCAAAATCTACACCACCTGAGAGTAAGTGTTGCTTTTCGTATCTCGAGTGAACAAGAGATGGACACAAGAGGCAGTTCACTCGACCACGATGGCCATACAAAATTTGATGTGAAGGCCATTCGCTAAAATTTTGTTTAATACCAACTAATAATTGCATCATCACGGTTTGTGTGGCCGGCACTATAACAATTGTACCATCCTCACGTCCTATTACTAAACGACTTTGTTGTGGTAAGTAAATACTTGAGGTTAATTTAACCGGTGAATCTGTTATACGAGATAATTGATCAAGTATGCCAACTGGTGGTGGATCCATCACTGCCCATGCCTCCACTAACGAAGTGCAAATGGTAGGTTTAAGCAAACGCGCTGGCATTTGCTTTGCTTGTAATATACTTATATTATCCAATGGCACATCAGGTGTTGTCCACACGGAAATAAAACCTTCCGAATCTCCGCGCAGCAAATAATGGTTAGTTTTACTCTCACGTTGACTTTGTACTAGCTTCATTGCTGGTGGGCATGACAGTACTTTATCACCTGGCTGTTGTAGCACATAATAAAGATATGGCGCGTCACGTACGACAGACTTTGAATGGAACTCTTTGTTATCAGGTATGCAATTAGCCGGTAATTTGTATAAATAACCTTTTCCGTCATCAGTCCAAAGCATAACTCGGTCTGATGTAATAAAATCACCACCCTGCCAACGTTCTCTCGTCGGTGCAATAACAGAACAAAGCACTGTGAAGTCACCAGCGTCATAAATTTGCCAATATTTTGTGCAAACTATCAGTACTGTTCGTTGATTTTGTGCACAACAATTCATTGTTATTGCATTAAGACACCGAATTTCTTTTGATTCATTTTCATAAATGGGTTCTGCAAGCTTATTCTCATTACCGATAAGTGTCCACACTTTAACTGTGCCCGTGGTTGTTATTGCTAATACTACATCGTCTTTACGTTTCATTGGACGTAATACATGCAATGCCGAAATCCAATCAGGTTTTACTTTTGAACTTAACACATATATAACCTCTAAGCTGAATGGATCCATTACCATTATTTCAGCGTAGTACCCTATGCAGAAGAGACGCACATCTTCACTATTGGCTGTTTGATAACTTTGAATCTGTGTGTGCACTTGTGGTAGTTTGACAGCTTCTGAACATTTTCCATCTATGAGATCCCAAGTACACATTTCTCCATTCTCAGATGAACTAACTAAAAAATTGTTGTCTGGTAGAATTGAAGCGCGTACTAAACATAGTACGGGTGCCGAATGTCCAACAAGTAGGCATCGTGGTGACATTTTTAATGTATTAGGATCAACCTGCCATAAACAAATTTGTCCATCATAACAGCCAGTTACAAGTGTTGCTTGATCGTCTGACATATAAACACTGGATACGCAATGTGTAGGTGCAGTAGGGCCCCAAAGGACTACGGGCACCACCAAATTGGTGCTCACCATTTTGTTGGTTTCTGTAATATGAGTGAATAGTACAGATCTTTTTTTTAAATAAACAAATAAGCGACATTCTAAACATTTTCAGGCATACATTTTAACGAACACAAATTAATATTATGGCAAACTGATAAAATCAAAACGTTAGTTAGGCTTTGACTGATAAGATTTTATTATCTTTTTATGTATTAAACGATATATGTATGCATATATTTACAGATTTTGTTACAAGCGTAAAAAACTTATGTAACGAAAATTTTTTAATTGTTTTTAAGATGTACTGATAATTTCAGATACAAACTTTTGCAACCACAAAATGAGACGTGTGCAAATTATTTTAATTAACTACAGTCACAAGAAATTATGGATAAGTTACGTCACAGAAAGCAGTAAAAAATATTTTAATTAACAATCTAAATTCTCTGCACTGTAATGTAAACAATAACTCTACGAAAATAATATCTACATATATATATATACAAATAAGTATTTAATATGAAAGCAAAATTAATTAAATATATTAATTTTTCGTTCATTTTCTTTCTGAAGTGTATTCCAAAATTATTTTCAAACAAAAGGTCATATTGAGAATGTTTTAATAAAAATAATAAGCAAGTGATGAGTGTGATCAATTAAAACAGTTTGTAACATTTGCAAAATAATAAAATCAAAATCCAAGTTTCAGTCAAATTGCTTTGATTTGTGTGCGTTAAAAAATTGAGCCTCAAAATTATTTTTCATGCTAACATTTGTAGTAATACGCTTTTACGCTTCTTCCTCCGTGTACTCCAATATCTTCACCACCTTCTCTTCGCACGACAACGACAACGGCAGCAGCAGCAGCAGCAGCAACAGCAACAAAAGTTATGGAACTTCAATGTCGTGTTTGTAATATTTATTTTTAATCGTTATCTTAAATTATTTTTCGCTAACGCGAACTTTCTAAATTAATGATTGCATCTGTAAATTTTAATTTTTGCGTTCTTAATGAAAAATGTATGATTGTTATTATTTTCTTTCCAATTTCTTATTTTTTATTGTCCATTAACTCGGAGAAAAATAAAATATCGACCGAGTAAAAACTATCGATTGATTAGATGTAATGTCAAAGTGACATTTCATAGCTGTTACGTCGTTTAGTTACGTTACGTCAACGACGACCACACAACTGATAACAAACGTAAAAATAAACTTTGGGAGCTAGTATTTTTCCATATTCAGGTATAACAATTTTTTTTGTTTTTATAAAATATAAAAATACTTATCACAACTTTTTTTAATATTATAAACAAAAACTTATATAACACAACACTCCGATATATACAAAAAATCATTGTATGCTAAGAAATTATTTCTAAAATTAGTATTATAAATTAGTATTTTTTTAAATTAGTATTTTAAAATTAGTATTGCACTTGCAAAACTTTGACATTGATTGTCGAATCACAGCGTTACCGAATTAGTATTTGGGCAATGAGACAACACCTATTGTTCTATAAAACAACAACTGATTTATGGCGTTTTCGATTGGTAAATCTGAGTTCAATCTAGATTACACCAGATTTGTCAAATTTTGTTACCCAATCGAACAATTTTTAAAGTAATCTAAAATTTTTGTAGTTGTGTTAGTAAATAAACCAATTGAATTAAAATACTTAACCCAGTTGGAAGAGTGTCTTCGAAGACATTGTCTTCGAGACGGTCTTTGATACTGCGTCCGCAAGTTTAAGGAAATTTGCAAAACAATTGCTCAAAATATGAATTTAAAAAATCTATCTTTTGCTTATTCTCTCATGTGTGGTGTTCACAGCAAACCATGTCGCTATGCCATTTTTATTATCAGTGTCAATTTTGAGTAAAGTGAATAAGCATTTTGTGAGGTTAAATTATCTATTCCATTCCATAAAATTATCTTTTCCCTTTTTCAATTTAATTTAATTCTAATTTACTTTTATAAATAAATTTATAATTATATAAATATAATGTATAAATATGTATATAAAATAAACAAAAAATAATCACGTATAAATTTATTTCTAGTTATTTAAAGAGAAACAGAATTTACAATTTAAAGAGCACAAAAAAAGAGAAAAAACAAGAGAAGCGTAAAAAATGAGTAGCTCCGCTAAGAACGCACAACTTTCAATCAAATGCATCCGTTATACAAGACATAGTTGTATCCAGTTTTCGATACATATACACAAAATGTCTTCGAAGACCGTCATACATTTTGATCGATCGGTCAAGAAGTCTTCGATGACAGATCGATCCATTTTCTACTGAGAAACTAACTTCTTCTTCCATGTACATAATATTCACGATAAAATCTTCAACTTTAACTTTTTCCGTTTTTGCAAATGGTAACAAGTTAAAATAAGTACATAAGTATCTACATCTGAAGATTCGTCGTCAGATGATAATGTATTTGCAGCCAATTTTTTTTTTTGCAAAATGACAGTGTAATATATATCAAATTGGGCACATGTGTAAGCAAATCTCACTTTTTGTCCGTCAAAGTATATATCTTAAGTGTGATACATAAATCTTGATTGTTATACAGATTTACCAATCGAAAATAAAAATTGCACTAAAATTGAATCTCTCCCTTTTATTATATATTTCTTAAATCTTTCAATAGCTTTCAGATCACGTGATGTCACCTATGGTTCTAAAAAACAACTTATTTATTTATTTATATATTTCTTAAATCTTTCAATAGCAATGGAAATAAAATATTTCCTTATTTCACGATTCGCAAATTCAGATCATCTGATATCGCCTACAAAAAAATATCGCCTGTGAATATATTTCTTTATTTCAGGAGCCAAAAAACCGGAGTATGTCAAAAATCATACTTTCGTTATTTACAACATTGGTTGATTTTGATTGGGTTCATTAGTGGTGAATACAAGAGGATAAGGAGTTTGGTGTTCGACTACCCCACAATATATTTCAGATCATTTAAGACTGCATAAAAAACTAACTGCTTGTAGTAATTAATTAACTGCTTGTAGTTGAATTATTTTTGAAAATCTACTCTTAAGTATATGCATCCAGCTGTAAACAGCAATATATACCTATATAAAATAAGACTATTACTTTTTTTACTGACATATACACCTTACATATATTATGGTCCATACTTTGTTAGCATCGAATATACTTTATTTTTAATTTGGTGTTCGGACTTTCAGTCGCCAATTAGCAGATTGTAACTCCACCACTTACATCGACCCATATCTATCTAAGTAGATACAAACCTATGCCCTCAGCGCATCGCCAGTATACTTAAGACATTAATCCGGGTGTATTCGAAATTCCAAAATTACAATTACAATAAAAACTAAAACAATTATAAAAATTAGCAGGTATACCATCTTCGTGCTCATGCAAACGGATCGGCCGCTGTTTCACACATTTAGATGGTAGCAACCGCTACAAACGCAACCACACCCAAATGCTTTTTATTTTATTATAAAATGCGATTCTTAGAGTAGCCGAGTTTATATTCTAAAACTATTTATCGACAACAGTAACTTGCAGAAATTCTACGAGTATCTTTAAAAACTATTATTATATATTTTTTTTCATTTTTTTGGAATTGAATATATAGTATTTTAATAACTAAATACGGACTGTTAAACGTAGTCAAACACCTAAATTCTAAATCGGCAGTAATTAGTTTCACATAAAAAGGTAAAAAGAATTTTAAGAAATTGTTAATTGAAAACAACCTTCTACTAGGTAAATAGAGACTAAAAAGCATACATCAGACTTAACTATTAAAACTGATATTAAGAAGAGAGATTTGTTAATTCAAAAGAACATTAATAGAAGAAAAATGGAGACTGTAAAACCTACATTAGGTATACCTACTAAAAACGGGTCTAAGAAGAAGTTTACTGTAAAATATATGAAGAAGAAAAATTCATAGAACTGATTTTGATAGTGAATGCTATATACCTGGGTTTTTTACAATTTCAGTTGTAAAGGTAATAAAGAGACCCGATGTGACTAAACTCGTCTGAGAAAGTGGTACTATGTTTGCTATTTGAATTACTTTCCCAAATAGTAGAAATAGTAGAATGAACAATGGATTGGTTTTATACCAAAAGATATTCAATATGTTTTGTATGTCATCTAAAGTTGATCGGTGTTATTACATATTTTAAATCTAATACAGTAGACCAGAAACAAGGGAATATGTAACTGAACTTCAATTTATTTGTTAAATTAAATAATTAATATTAAACATTTAATATTAAAATATTTTTAAATAATAAGTGAACATTATACACTTATACATACGTTTAACACACGTTGAAAAATAAATTATAAATAATATATTAACTTCATTTTATTACTATTAGTACAATTAATATTATTTTTAAATTTTTATATAAGCTAAAAATATTGTTTGAAATATTTCTTTGAATCAATATTAAGAACATTTTCTTAACGACAATTAACGTACATGCGTTAGTGCAAGTACGTAACAAAAAACACCTCTGTCATAAACACTACATCGACTTAACGTTTTAATGGTTGAAGTTGAAAAGACACAAGTTTTGGATAAGTAATTTTATTACATTCTTTCCAGTTATTTGAAATTTGTTACAATTTCATCGAAGCCATATGTTTAATTTATCGCACTTATTATATTTATAAATATCCTTATAGTAGATGTATTTTAAATAATAATAATTGATAAATGTTAAGACTTTTCTAAAGCACTTTTTTCAATGGCCATTCAGTAGACGTTCGCAAAATATTCTATAACTTTTTATTTTACAAATATTTCATTTTCATAAATAATTTTAAAATATTTAATGTTTTTATAATGTTTAGCAAGTTATAAAACTATTTGAATATAAAGAATTTAATAAATTGTCCGAAATTGCCGTTTGATTTTCATATCACTCACGGAAACACAAACATTAGGACTTGAGTGTTTCATATAGTTAAAAATATTTAATAAATAATTACCTCTAACGTAAATATATTTATTGCTTTTAACAACTGCAAATATTTCACTGTTTTTATATAATTTTTAATGAATGAGTTTTAACTTTCCATACAATTGAACTGAAATCAAAATACTATACGAATGGATGTGATTGGCAGAGTCAAATATCTGAACTCATGGTTGCATTTTTGTGCACATACTTGTATTTATATGAAACATACAAATGCAGCGAAATATGTCAAAATATGCAATGCTTCAAGAATTTTGATAATTATATATATTATATTACAATAACTATTATATAAAAATCTCAATTTATAATTATTATTTTTTACTGAAGAAAAAGTTATTGTATTCAAGAAAGATTTTTTATTATTATTATAATAATTATTAATTGAGCTACATATTAGCATTTCATGTATGAGCATTTGTAAGTTCTCTATACTATTCAGTTTTATTTTAAGTTTATGTGGAGTTCGAGTGAGAAAAACTTAAAATACAATTTTTTAAGTACTAAGCAGAGTTTAGTATTAGTACAATTTGATATAAGACAAATATAAATAAAATCTTTTCAGTATATGACATTTAAGTATTATATATATATGACAAACTTAAGTATTCAAATTATTTAATTTGAAATACATATATTACTTTTATTTTTATCACTTTCGTCATCGATTTTATATTTGGCTTAATTTTCTGTTTTTAATTAAATATCGGTTGGTCAATTATTAGCTTTATTACCTATATTTATTCTGGCAGAAAACATCAGCTTCTTTGATTAAAAATCAAATGGTTGTTGTTGACTTCAATTCTAAAAATTAAGCGTTTATCACAATGACTCAAATAACCAATTAAAATTGAAATCATTGAAATTTCATATCAATAAAATTTTAAAAAGAAATTTTAAACAATTTTAAAGTATTTCTTTAAAGTAAAAAAAATAAATATTGGCTACTTCTGAAAGTTCAACACAATTTAATATATTTCTATTGTATTTGAACAAAACATTTGAAAACATTTGTATTTGAAAATTTAATTAATATAATTTATTTTGATAAGAACTACATGTTACTCAACATTAAGATTGCTATTACAAATATATGGCAATACAATTAACTCGCAATTAACGCAATTAACTAGACTGTAATATAATAATAGCTGTTTTTTACACAAAATTTAACTAAAAAATAATAATGTTCTAATAATCGAACATTATTATTATAAATTATATCACTATAAATGTGAATATAATATACTAATGCTGGAAAAATGTTGAGTTACAAATTAAACATGCCATAAAGTACATTATTAATTTTATTTAATATTTTAAAAAATTTATATTCTTTTTGTTGTTATCAAAACTTGCAAGAATGATTGCCACATTGAAATATTTCAATTTCATATCATTGCAGTACATTTTCACATTTTGCATTAAAGCACAATTACAACACAATTATCGAGATAAAAAATAGCGTGAATGTAGTGTCAAAGATCAAGAGTTCGATATTAAAGAAGTTACGTATATAGTCATCCACGCATATTTGAATCATATGTATGGGTATAGTTAATATTTGTTTTGTGTACTTCATTTGTTTGATTTTTTTTTAATTTGCAAATATTATATCTTATGAGTTCAAACTATTGTGAAACAATAACAGAAAATTTTTTTTAATTAGACAAAATACAATGGAATACATTTTCTTGATTTTAACTGAACATACCACACCCAACGAGTAATAATTCAATGAACGCGCACTTTTCAGCTGATCAATTTGTTTATGTCTGCTAATTGTGACGATACTATGTCGTGTCCTCAGTAGTGATAATGAGATTACACAGATTTAAAATGAAATGATAAAATTAGATTTTTACAATGCAAAATATTTTTTTAAATTATATACACTTATTGCTTGTATGCTTGGTCATTCTAGCACTGCAAGGACCGCAGAGAGTGCAATGCTCACAGTATTACACTAAAGAGAAAAAACTGGAGCTGAGGTAGTTCGAATATGAAGTACATCTTTTCAAATTTGCTTAAATTGTTTTGCATTAAAGGGAACAAGTGCGAAGTGTGTTTCAACATGGATACGATAGTTATTTGCGTTACGCAGCAGATTATGATGAACTCCGTCCATTGACATGTGATGGTGTGGATACTTGGGGTAGTTATTCACTGACATTGATTGATGCCTTGGACACGTTGGCAACCATGGGCAATTATAGTGAATTTAGGCGTATCGCTTTATTAATTGAGAAGAAAATGAATTTTGACAAAGATATTAATGTTTCGGTTTTTGAAACAAATATACGCATTGTTGGCGGATTGATATCGGCGCATTTAATTTCGAAAAAAGCTGGTTTAAATGTTGAAAAAGGTTGGCCATGTCAAGGTCCATTACTGCGATTAGCAGAAGATGTTGCAAAACGACTTTTACCAGCGTTTGACACGTTCACCGGCATGCCGTATGGTACAGTAAATTTACGGTATGGTGTTCCAAAAGGTGAAACACCAATTACTTGCACTGCTGCCGTTGGCACCTTTTTAATAGAATTTGGGGCATTGAGTCGTCTTACTGGTAACCCAATTTATGAGGAGGTAGCTCTAAATGCAATTCATACAATATGGGAACGTCGTTCTCCGCTTGGTTTGGTTGGAAATCATATTGATGTGCTAACAGGCCGTTGGACAGCTTTGGATTCTGGTATTGGTGCAGGCGTTGATTCACTATTCGAATATTTAGTTAAAGGCGCAATTATGCTTAACCGGCCAGAATTATTGGAAATGTTTCATGAAGCCCGACATGCTATAGATAAATATCAAAGACGAGATGATTGGTATGTTTGGGTTCACATGGCAAAAGGACAGGTGACATTACCTGTTTTTCAGTCTTTAGAGTCATTTTGGCCTGGTATTTTAAGTTTAATTGGTGATATAAGGCCTGCTGTACGCACGTTTGCAAAGTATTACAGCGTATTGAAGAAATATGGTTTCTTACCAGAATTCTTTAATATACCATTAGGTGAAGCATCTCAAAATCGTGAAAGTTATCCACTTCGTCCTGAGCTCGTAGAGTCAGCTATGTATTTATACCGTGCCACAAATGACCACGTATATTTGGAAATGGGTGAAACACTGCTTAAAAGTATTGAATTCAGTGCAAAAACAAAATGTGGCTATTCTACTGTGAGTATAACTATATAGCATGGATAAAAAAATTTTATTAAATAAATATTTCTAGATACGCAACGTTGTTACACATGAAAAAGAAAATCGAATGGAATCGTTTTTCCTTGCTGAAACTACGAAGTATCTTTATCTATTATTTGATGAAGAAAATTTCTTGCATAATGATGGTGTCACTGGCGAACGTTTAGAAACTACTAATGGGGAGTGTGTAGTATACGCAGGATCTTACATCTTTAATACAGAGGCACATCCAATAGATATGTCGGCACTACATTGTTGCCATGATATTAAAAGTGATATATACGAAGGGCTTGATTTGGAAATGTTTAGTGATAATAATTTGTTAAAAACAGAACGTGAAAGACGTATTGCCGATGAAACAAAAAATAAAAAATATCAATGTGCTGAAGGTTTCGAAGACATGCAAAAGCATAAAAATAAACTAAACACCACCAATTCAGATCAAAATGATACAACTGCAACAGTTGTTGATATAATGGTTTACGATGAAAATAATAATAAGGCAGCTGATGTTTTAATTGATAGATTTGATAAAGTTAAAAATCAAAGACGAAAGGAAGAAAAAGATGCTACAACCATTAATTTATTAAGAAATCAACTTACTGTAGCAGATTTAGATGAATTTTTCGATAAGAAACGATCCGATTTTAAAAGCGCTAGAGCTGCATTAGATTATGTAGTAAGATTCATGAAAAATTTTACACTGGATGCATCATTTATAGTGGGATTAGAAATATTTGATAAAAATGTGTCTAATATATTAGGATTTGGTGTACAAAAAGATTTCGAAAGCACTATGCGTACACTTTGGGAAATATATGAACTTAAACAGCGGTACGCAGTGAATGTTAAGTTAGCAATTGATGAAGGACTCACGTCTTATGATGACGATAAATACGAGAAACTAACAAATTTGTTACAGGTTTTGGATTATGAAACAACAAAATACTCCACATCAATATCATTAGAAGAAGAAGCTTTCAAAACTAAATTGGAAACTTTAAATAATTTAAGACTAGAATTTCAGTTAACATTAGTAAATACAACGTCCATGCAAGAGTTCCTATTAAAAGTACTGATTAAGGGTACGAATGATAAAAATCGCACCTATACAAAAATTTTAGACGAATCTGATATTAAAACGTTAAAACCACCGACTCTTTCGCCTAAAGATCGTGTTGAACTTTTCGAATATATACAAAAAAATGCCGCTTTCAAAAAGCGCATGATTGAAACATTTCGAAAACTACAAACTTTAATGAAAGAAGAAAAGGCACTACCGCCCTTACCTGAAAGTGCTGAATCAGAAACAAATGATGAACTTATTGTTGCTACAGACCAACCAAAGAGACCTAAACTTAAACAAGGTGATTTATTAGCGCCAGAATTCAGAACTATAGATAATAGTGAAATCAATTTCAATACAGAAAATATAGTGGCCGAAACTACTGAAGTAAGTGAAAATAATGACTCGGTCTGGTCTCAACTTGTGCAAACTTTTCTCAAAAAAACTACTCCACAACCCATTAAATTTGATGAGGGAATGCTTTTAGAAAAAACTAGATTATCCTTACAAAAATTTATTGCTAAACCCGTAAACTATGAAGTACTTACTTGTCAAAGACCTACGTTTATTGAAAACTTTGCTTACCGTTCATTTTATCCATAGTGGTTTTAAATATTCTTTTAAAAGACACGATCTTAGTAATAATACGAAGACATATATTACGGGTGATGATTAACACTCATTAACATTTTAATAAAATAATTAATATTTTATTAAAAATGCATTTACAATCGTTAAATATGCAACTCAGGCAACTAATATTATATATATGACCAAA